ACGAGCGGAGCGCAGCGGAGCGCAGCGGAGCGCAGCGGAACGTGTTGCATACTATACTTTTTCTACGCCCGTTAGTTTTTGGGTACATGTTCGCAAAACCCGAATACATTCACTGACATGACTGTCAGAATTGACAAACGTGAAAATTCAAAGCGTGGGAAATATCTCCGAAAACATGCGATTGCTCCCAAATCCGTGCGGTAAATTCCCGGAAATGTCCGAAATGGCTCGGATTTATGGGAAATGAAACTGACGTGGTAAAATGACGCTTCCCGTACGCTAGATCGGTGGGTAATTGGGTATTTTACAGACGGGAGTAGAAAAAAGATTTAACGGCACGGTTTGAATTATGACGTTTTTCAGCTCTAATGGTCATGCAAAAATGTATTTTTTTGTATTTATAATTTAACTTTCCCACAGAAATTTTACATACCGTTCGCATAAACTTTAGTGGTTTTTACAGTTCTTATATTAATATCTTGCCAAGGCCGATTGTGCGATTTTTAAATATCCATGTCTCATCAGTACAAAAACAACAAAATTGAAGGTTAGGACCTGCTTTTTCTTGCTTATACGATCTCAAAAATTTAATCCTCTTAATAGCTCTTGGATGATTTTTCTTCAATTACAGTCTTTTTCTAACTAACTACTAAACTACTTAATGATCAATTGTAAAAGTTAAATAAACAACATAACGTTATATAATAAACACAGTTATTGTTGTTTACATGACATATCCAATAAATACATCTCTCTCTGTCTAACGTACACAATTAAAAAGAGACAACAACAGCAGAACCGATCTAAACGATAAACGAACAGGTTTAATGGCAACTAGTAAATATTTTGTTTGAATGGTATTAGTAATCCGACAATCTGTTATAATTTTTAATTTGTTAAATTGTGACTTTTCCGTGACGGTTATAGAAAAAGTACAGTATGCAATACGTTTGGTAAACTCTTTATCCCACTTGTTTATATTAAGCACTCGCTCCGCTGCGTTCCGCTCATGACCAATTATCTCGTGAGTCAAATGCCGTTTACCGCACTTGTTGCATAATATACTATTTTATACTTCCTTCTGTAAAGTACTTAATTATACACCGATCTAGCATGCGGAAAGCGTTACTTTACCACGTGACTTTCGTTTCCCACGGCTCCGAGCCACTTCTGACATTTCCAGGAAATTGCCGCACGTATTTGGGAGCAATCGAATGTTTTCGTAGATATTTTACACCCCTTGAACTTTTACGTTTGTCAATTGTGACGGTCATGTCAGTGAATCTATTCGTGTTATTTTGCGAAAATGTCCCCAAAAACTAACGGTCGTACAAAAAGTATAGTATGCAATACGTTTGGTAAACTTTTTAACTCGCTCGTTTATTAAACATTCGCTCCGCTAGTGCCAAATAAACTCGTGACTCAAATGCCGTTTACCACATTTGTTGCATGATATACTAATTACACCCCCGAATTTCAATATAACATATTAGCGTTCTGTTTTTATCTAAAATCTGACAACGCAAAATCTACAGTTTCTGTTTTTACAATTCATTGCACAAAAATCACAGCATGGCTCAAGTGTGCTTTGAAATCCTGTCAAATTTGTAAGCCCTGTAAGATGCTACATAGAACAAAACAATTTTTGTTTTATTTTAACATCTCAAGTGACACTTTTCAAAACTCGTTACTTTTCCTCACTTCCGACTTATTTTCCATATTTGCATTTGGTTCAGCTTCAAGACAGTATCCAATCTAATTCTCATTATTATAATTAACATTGTTGTAGAAAAAATTTATCTTACTTTTTAGTTATTTTATCCACACAGGAACAGCGGATGTAATTAATTGACTAATCAATATTAGGTATATAAATTGGTTCAAAATTTTTCGGCATAATGTTTATCCCTGAATCCAACACTGTTATGCAGGATGTTTCAAAAATATGCGCTAGCACTCAGCTGGAGATTCGTCATCCAAAAAAAGAAAAAATCTTCATATAATAGTATATCCGGAAATGATTAGTTTCAAGATCATTATTATATAAATTCAAATTATAAAAGAAACGCATGTCGGAAAACCCTTACGTCATAGGCATTTTCTTTTTTGTTGTACTATTGTAAGGATGCTTCCCGCGACTTCACAATTTTAACCTAGTTGAAATATAATTACACCTTTGACGATGCCAAATTTTAGGAAAATCGACCAAAAAAAAATAAATGTTTTAAAAAAGTTTTTTTTTTATTTACTTATTTTTTGTGACACCCTGTATATATGGTACTGCATTGGGCATCAAAATACAGAATTGTTCTATTCTATTCCATTATAGCAATTTTTTATTTGAAATTAATATGGTAATGTAATTTTTTAGCGTTTTTATGGTTTTTAGTCTCTCCTATTAAAACTTTGGAGTTACTCCCGGTAGCGAGTTTTGACAATCCGACTCCGCTCATCATTTTTTTCACAACGATAAACAACCGTACTAGGAAAACATAACATAATGTATTTTTGCTTCATTGGAGAAGCAAACGCGCCTGCATTCGTCTCAAAATAATCTCAGATTTTTACTTTTGTTAGAGAGTTGAAATTATGGGAGTATACGTCGGTCGTAAATAATTAAGCGCGGCAGCTTGCTGAAATACGCACCAATTTGTTCCGTGTGCGCTAAAAGGGAAACGATGTTTTTCATCAAACAAGGCGGGAGCCCTACCAAGCGACTTCCACGTAAAGCCTATTTTAAATGACATTGGACATGGTCTCTTGTATCACAATACATCTCGCGGTCTATCTCATGTGAAATCTATTCTGGATGACCCACCACCTTTCAGAAAAAAATATGTGTTTCAAATGTATATTGTTATTCCAAAATGACATTATTTAACAACTGATATCGATTTGAAAGTATCTAGCCCACTGTCCCCTGTCTAGAGGAATAAAGATCGAATGCATAATCTGAGGCACATTTGAATCGCATTTACTTAACGGATGATCCCTGTGGCGAGAACAAGATTATCGGGTCTTGCATAAAATGATCTTCTAAATTTCCAATTTGTACACGGAGCGAAAAAATTAACAAAACAAAAAATTTCTTAAATTAACAAAATTATTTGTTTCTATTCCGACGTGACAATATTTTTATTGGATCAAGTATATTTGTCAAAACGGTTTGGTTAGTTGAAACTAATATGTTAGTTATTTCCACAAAACGGTTTGTCAAATTAAAAAATTTATGTTTACTCTGGACTTACTGGAAATACAAAATCATATTTTTAACTTAATGAAATAGGACGATTTATTCAAGGTATACGTAATTCCAATAAAAAAGGACAACCACTGTATGGGACCTCAAAAACATATTTGATGAATTAATTATCTGAATAAATAATTAATTAATTTTTGTTAGTGCTAGCTACGACAAATTCCCGTTCATCCTAGATTGCTCTGCATTCTTTATATTACGTTGATTCACAATAGTATAGCACTCAACAAGTTTGCACGAGCGGAGTACAGCATAGCAACTGCTTAATAAAGTGAGTAAATGACTGAAGAAGCTCATCAACGTGTTGCACACTATATTTTTTCTGCGCCCATTAGTTTTTGCATACATTTTTGCAAAAGTCAGAATAACATGGCTAATATCTATCGAAAGCATCCCACCGTACCTAAGCCCGTGACTGAAGTATCGAAAAAGGCGAGCCTTAAAGTGGCATTTTCCACACTTTATCCTTGCGTAATTGGATATTTTAGAGCAGGACGTAGAAAAATTAACTTAACCAACAGACATCTAAACAAATATTAATAAGCGTACTGCATAAGCATAAAAAAATATTCTCTGATGGCCGTATTTTACGGTTCATCTGTTTTAACTTAATTCGCCCTTTAGAACGTAGATGGCGCGGCAAGCAGGACTCCGAAAATAATCAAATTAAGCCTTTTCACTGGCACTAAAACTACTGTTTTAGACCTATTTTCAGAAAGCTATGTAGTTGAGTCAATGTCCATAAAAGTCCATATTTGCATACTCATTTGATAGTTTTGTTTATTTGTTAGATTACTTCGTCAGACGACTGACGTCTTTAATCGATATTTGGAACACATACAATATAAAATTACACAGGGTAAGATATAAAATGTAAAGCTATGGAACCACCATATCTCGTTGATCGTTCAATCTAATAACTTGAAATTGGTACCATTATTCACAAAAATGTTATAGTTAGTTTTGATTAGTTTAATAGTTAAGTTAGTAAGTTAACAGTTAATAATTAAATGGACTAAATAGGTTTTGCAGCTTAGTGACTCAAACATGAAATATTTGAGTCAAACATGTTCCCATCATTTGGCAGAATTGGATCGTTTGATAGGTATCATGATTGTCAATTTGACAGTGAGAGAGGCCAGTTGCGGCGATGATCGTCTTGTTGGACTGGATAAGGTTAAGAAAAAATAACTTTTTTTATCCGATTTAGAGCAGCAAAACATCCATTTGACTTTAGCGTGGAGTCCACAATTAGTTTTTAGTTTATATGATGTTATTTCAATAACACCCTGAACATATTTAAATGGATGCTTCGAAAGACTTGTATGTAGTTGATGCCACATCCAGTGAACGACCTGGAACTGATTAACTCTTTATAGAGTTTTTAAATCTGCAATTAATTATATTATATAACTTGATAGTGGAAGTCAGATAACAATTATATTATATATAATATTAAGGCAGAGGGAAAAATGCAATGCAAATGTTGTAATTTATTTTTAAATTTAAAATTTTTAAAGTCAGAACAAAATATTTTTTTTTCCGAAAGCAACGAAGTCTTGTTTTATGACATGAAACATTTAAAATAAAAATAATGCTTTTTTAAATAAGTATGTATCAACAACATAAATTAATTTGAAAAAATAACAATTTGGGGACAAAATTAAAACTGTTTTTGATAAAAATATACATATAGGTAATATGAAATAAAACGCACTAAATCCAATTTTTAATACCCACTTACATAAGCTTCACATTTTTAACTAAAATAACTAGTCCTTACCAATACAAAAATCAGAAAATTATGCTATATTAATATAATTTTTGAAAACAGGTATTATGGCTTTTAAGTACCACTCAGGTACTTATTCAACTTTTTGTGAACACCAAGGAGCAGGCGATTTTTTAAAAAAATGTCCTGCAAAGTAATGTATTATTTTTCCAATGGGCGCTTGAGTTGACGTTTTTGTATGTCTGCTGATTCCCGTGTGGGCGGAACACGTGTAACATTTTTAAAATAATATATTTTTTTGTAACATTCACATCGGAGTGTTTGAATCTTTATAGTTTTGTGAAACCAGGTCTTTTCCAGGATGGGCAATTTGTTTTATTTTATTATTTTTGGTTTTAATTGAATATGTTTAAGAAACTGACATACATATAACAATATATATTATATAAATTTTTTTCTATCAAAACAGGTTGTCTTAAATGTCTAACACGAACCAAGAAAAATATGTAGGTATTCTAAAAGAACGAACATATCAACAATATTTTCATATAATTAAAATTATAAAAAAAAATAATAAATACAAGTATCGCATACTGGTTCTGCTAAGAGTATCTATTTATTTAACTGACAGTTGATGGACGATTGATTTAATGCCATATTATAAAATTCTAGATTCTAGATTGCCTAAACCTTTATTGAATTTACATTTTACATCTTTTTGATTTATTTAATTTGTTAAAGTGTTCTTATAACAATAATAATTGAAATTTGGTCCAACAGATGGGACATGTGCGATACGTGTTCCTTACGTGATCTACCAGCAATTTGTTGCGACGAATGAAAGACCTAATCTAATAGCAGTATGCTGTGTAACGAATTTGTCCACCATAGGTACTAATCCAAACACGAATCATTCCCAGAACAAAGTTCAAATGTTCTGTGGAATTCAATCATTGAAACAAAAGAATGATCTTCCTAATAGCGTATTTTTCACTGATAACAAAAATGCTATTCCATTGTGTTACTAATAAGTACATATTTTTAAGGAAGTCCGTTGCCGATGACCCAGAAAGATTAAAATGCGAATTTTCGAGACAAATAACAGTCTCGTTAAAAAGAAGAATAAATAAGCCATTTTAAAGCAGATCTTGAACTCGGAATGGTCATGACCATAGTTCAAACTAATTATGGCTTTGAAATATCGACGCTCTGGTCACGATATTATAATATCGCGAAGATTCGTAGAGAACGTTGAACGGAAAGTAGAGAGATTTGCGTTCTGTTGTATGTGAAATGTAAAATTAGATAGAATTTTTTTTTAATTTAAATTGAATGAACCTGCAAGAAATAATGTTTTTCTAATTTTAAAATTTAAATTGGCGAATGTAAAACAGCGGACATAGTATTAACAAATACACATAAGAATAAAGCTACCATCCAATGACAAAGAAAGAATAAGGATTAGAATAAGAAATGATTCCGAGAGAAATGTGTGAACTGTGTATTCCAGAAGGTTAGGTAGTATTATTGGACAATTAATTAACTAATTACGTATTTTTTGAGTAAGCATTTTATTTTATTTTATTTTATTTTATTTAATGTGTATTTTTACTTGATTTCGAGTAATTAACGAACATAGTTCTTTAGAGGCTCATTCTTGGCAAATAAAAACAACAATTAATCAATTTTTTTATATGTGATAGGATGTTAAACCTCCTACGGTTAGACCTTGGCGGACAGTTGTCCTACGCTAGGTATCATGGCCTCCATAAATGTCCATAGAGCTGTCAAACCATGTTTAAGAACTGACTTTATTATAAGTATTATTATAAGTATAGTTGCACTTCAATTAAAATTTGGCAGGTATCTTATACTTGGCTATTAATTCGTCCCGTCGGTCAATAATCAAACCCTTTTTCAAGAAATTGTTTCAACGAACAACAATTTCTTCAAGCAAGTTTTTTACAACACTGTGCCCTGATTTCGGTGTAAATCCTAAGGCATCAAAAACTTGTTCAGATTGCTCATTGATTGCTTGTGTTTCTTGCGACTGCGACGTCTGGTGCTTTAAAATTGGTAGTAGCAGAGGCAGCATCTGACTCTAAAAGAAAGTTCACATTCACCTAGTGACTACTTAAGTTTCTAATAAAAAAATCGAGCGATTTCATTTGTTTAGTTAAGGGTTTCGACCAAATCCATTTCTAGGAGTCACACATCCCAAAAACTTGTTATTTTCATTATACAAGGGAGATAGAAATCGCACGATTTTTAGTCTTATGTATTATGAATATCGCGCGATATCCCAATCCCTCCTAATTTTGAGTCAACTTTCACTTAAAATTAAAATTAAACTACGAATTTTATTATTATGTGCTGGTGATAAGTATATTCGGAAAATACATCGTAATTATATCGAAAATAAACGAAGGAGAATTAAAAATATATCAGAACGTGGTTTTATTTAAAATAAGTAATAACGTTTTTCAACATCTTTTCATCTAAACCCACTTTCGGGACAAATTTTTCGAATTTGGCGCTATAAAATTGACAGGGTATTATATATTATATTATAACGAACAACAGTGCAGGTTGAACATTGTTACCATGTTTAAGGACTTATGATTGATTGATTTTAACAGACTATAGGATTCGATTACTACAATATTGCAAAATAATTTATCAAAATCTAAATAGCTAATTCCTTATTTTCAAAGTGTGCGACTATTAAAAAAAAGTTTTATAAAGCAAATCAAATTTTCGACAGCATTATACATATTTTTAAAAACCATTATTCTTAAGAGAGTATTATTTTACAGTACTTTGTTTTTGTTTTGTGAACACGTATTTAATGACTCTTTTACGTGAATCGGCAGAATATTCCTTGTTCAAAAGTTTTATTGCCGTTGTTTAAGGTGCCGTAAAACCTTTTATAACACACCGGATTTTTGAAATTGCCATCTCAACAATAATATATTGCGAGTACGGACAACTAAATTTTATTTAATATTGGACTGGTTGATACTTCAATGGGTTTTAACTTTCAGGCTTCGCCATAAATTTTTGTTGTTTTTTGTTTAGAAATGGTTTTACAAATTTTAATGTAATTGTAGGAACACATGTGATAGAATCAGCAATAGCACCTACATTTAGGTTAAGGATAAAGGCAAACTGGTAAAAGTTTATTTGCTTTTTTATTTATTGACGGAGAAATAAGTAAAATGTACTAAATAATCCTATATAGTAGGGTATATTAGAATATTAATGAAACAACTTGGATAGAGACAATTTTTTTCACGGAAAAACGGCTATCCCGCCATACTTTTATATAAGCGGAGTGCCTTACCAGCTTAGAGTTAGTTGAAAAGTGGCGCCGAAACGCACATCTACGGATATAAATTGAGAAGTTTTATAAATTATTAGTCTTGTGTATAGTGGATAGTATTGGGTAAATAGTAATGACTTTGTTATTTTAGACGGAATAAATTTTAAGTTCCTATAAGTTTTATACGGAATGCTTTGTTTAATTTCACCGTCACGTTTGACGGTGAAATTAAACAAAAGTAACAGTATATTATAAAAATTCACGAGTTTCATTTGTTACGAGCGGAATGCAGTGGGAGGGTGCTTAATAAAAGGCTGACTGGAAAAGTTCATCAACGTGTTGCATACTATACTTTTTCTACGAACATTAGTTTTTGAGTACATTTTTACAATACATTCACTGAGTGAACACCGGTCGTTCCTAAACCCGTAACTAAAATACCGGAAATGTCAAAAATGGCTCGCGACTGTGTTATCCTGCAGGTCACAGTCAAAGGTTATATTAGCTTGTTGGAGGAAGTTGCGTTCGTAAAAAACTGGCGCTTGCAGTTGCAGAATAAAGCAACCGAGAACGGTATGACTTGTAAAAAGGCTGGAACTTGTTCAATAGAGGAGGACTCACAAGAGGAGCTCGGCTAATGGTGAGGTGTTATTGATTATCAATCTTAGATAGAAAGCTCTTAACTTTCAACTCAACCAAAAGCAACCCAACCAATTGCTGTGAATGGCGTAGCCCATTCTCTTCAATTTTTGTGCGTTTGCGATTAATTGAGTAAAGAATTCCATACAAGCGGTGAAAAAATTGTGAAATATGATCCTGAGAATTAGTGGTTCTGTCACTCAGAATCTGCAAACAGTTGACAACCACAGGTATTGTTCCTAATAGATTTAACATTGAAATAAACTATGAGGTCTTCTACTAGTAAATAAATCTTTACATGGAAAATACCGTTTTGTTGTATTTGTTACATATAACGCAAGTTCTAAACTATAGTTTTGAAAATAATTAATTTCTCGAAAACCGCTAAATATAAGTATAGAATTGCAGAACGGAAAATTCAATAATACACATTGCGTTTCATTGAAAATATCAAAGTTTATGCTACTTTATCGGAAAATCAGAAACGTCGCATCGCTGGAAATATATTATATCGACAGATCGTCCTCACGTATGTAAACGATCAAATTTTCAAAACGGCCCGAGAAATTCACTATAAACGTCTAAGTTGTCATCCACAGTGAATCAAGCTTTATATGTATGTGCCTGTACATAATAGGTACGTATTTGTTTTTACTATTTGTGATCAATTGACATTGGAAAAGTAACATTGGAAAACTGTAGTTATAATCCACCTAAACCATAGAAAATTGTGCAGCTTTTCCACTAATAAGAGTTTCGCTGTTCGATTTGATGGTATTATTTCTTTTGCATTTTCAAGTCGCTCTAGTTGCGATTTATATATTTTATATTCGAAATATAGGGATTTTAATTAGGAGGAGCATTGCAGTTATACTAGTCAGCTCCTACAACTCTTTTTCTTACGTTTCCTTATGGCTATAGCTCCAGGTGAATGTCGAAACCTTTTTTGGGATAGGAATCACAGAAACAAATTCTTCGACCCACAAGGTGAAAATAGGAAGATCATAGAAACTACTTGGATAAAATAGGAGCTTATGTAACTATTAATCAAGAAAGCCCAGCAAGGGCCAGATTGCCCACAAACTAAATATCAAATCGATAACTCTAACGTAAACTTACTATTCTGTGCTACTTACCTAATTAGATCCATGGCATCAAAACAGTCAGGATTTTGTATTGTTGATACATAATTTCACAATGACGTTCGGCGCGTGCGTCATAACCTCAAATAAATCAGGCATAGAAGTTAAAAATAAATAAATATTATCAACACTTACCACACAAAGACGTCCGCACAACAGAAGTGATAAACATCCAAACGAGAAAAGAAATTAGTATGATATACAAACTATTAGTTTTCCTATTGCACCTGTTGAATTTTAGCAACTTTACATATTCTAGCATTCACCCCGTAGTTTTTATCCCTGGAGACGGTGGATGCCAATTGGAAGCGAGATTAAACAAAAGCCTATCTGTACATTACATATGCGAAAAAGCTTCCGATTATTTTAACATATGGCTGAATTTGGAGCTTCTTATACCAGTAGTCATTGACTGCTGGATTGACAATATTAAACTCATTTATGATAATAAAACCAGGACCACAAGAAGCCCAGATGGGGTTAACATTAGAATTCCAGGTTTTGGGTTGAGTGAAGTTGTTGAATGGATTGATCCAAGTCATGCAAGCACAGGGGCTTACTTTTCTGATATTGCCACCACTCTAGTCTCCTTAGGTTATTCCAGAAATAAGAGTATTAAAGGAGCCCCATATGATTTTAGGAAGGCACCAAGTAAGGCCGCATTAAACTTTGATCTATCGAAACCTTTTTTATTTTTCTGGAAATTATTTACAGATGAAAACCAAGAGTATTTTGTAAAACTAAAAAAATTAATTGAAGACACGTATGAGGAAAACAATAAAACATCCATAATGTTGATCGCACATTCAATGGGGGGACCAATGTCCATACACTTTTTAAATAAGCAAAAGCAATCTTGGAAAGACAAATATATTCAAAGGTTGGTGACACTGAGTGGAGTATGGGGTGGATCTATGAAGGCTGTGAAAGTATATGCAGTAGGTAAGTATTAAGATCATTAGCTGTTAATGTTACTATTCTTATTTGCGAATTTCCTAGGTGATGATTTAGGGTCCTACTTTTTAAGAGAAAGTGTGATGAGAACTGAACAGATTACATCTCCAAGTTTGGCTTGGCTACTTCCCTCAAAATTATTTTGGAAACCAGATGAAATTCTCATACACGCTGAAAATAAAAATTACACATTAAATAATTTGGAAGAATTTTTTAGGTATGATGTGAGATCAATGTGAACATTTTGTATTAGTAATAAAGTTTTTAGGGATATATATTTCACAGATGGGTGGGAAATGAGAAAAGACACAGAACCATATCAACTTGATTATAATGCACCTGGTGTAGAAATGCACTGCCTGTGGGGAACAGATGTGGATACTATTGAACAGTGAGTTCTGTTAACATTTGTCATTTAATAAAATTAGAATCAACATTTTAGATTATATTATAAACCTGGCACTTGGTTAGATGGTTATCCAACATTTATATATGGTAATGGAGATGGAACAGTTAATTTAAGATCACTGGAAGGTTGTATGCATTGGCAGTCATTGCAAAAAGAAAAATTTTTCTTCAAAACATTCCCGAAAGTAGATCACCTTGGTATATTACATGACAAAAATACTCAAAACTACATTGCTAGTCTTGTTATCCGTGATGAAGACAGATTCAATCAAAACAAAACAGAAGTAAGGTTGAAATGGAATACATTTTTGAAGCGCCTAAAAGATTTACACAATATTAAAAATTCACTCAAAATGGTATCTGAAAATACGAAAAATTTAACCAGCAAGTTTGAGTCTGCCAAATTTGAAATAAACAATGTTTAATCACTTCTCAGAATAAAATGAAGTAAATCTTAAGAGTTAAATTTGAGTTTATGTTATAAACACCTACTTCATATCTCACAAAACCAAATTCTATAAATTATAAATTAATATCTAGGGTGGTCTAAACTAAATACCCGTCAACGGAAATTCCACCTTTCTAAAGGAAATAGCTAAAACGTCAGTGTTACTGTGTTAATGGGTGTAACTTTTTTTTTACTATAGAAAATTTTGAGTTTATGTAAGTAGTAAGTAGTTTATGTAAGAGTCACTGGTTGTTGATGTTTATTAAAAATCATAAACGGTTCAATAAAATAAATGTTTATTCTCATATTTTATGCCACTTGCAAAACGATATATTTACTTCAATCATTAACAAAGAAAAACGTAAAAAATAAAGTAACATAGCAAAATTCAGCAATTTGAATAGTTCTTTCGTAAAAAGATTATTGTTGTTTAACTTATTATTATTAAATTAAAATTAAAAAAGAATTATAACAATGGTACCCAAAACAGTACATAAAAATCGGAATAGAAAATACGCTAATCTTTCACTGAGGAATATTTAAAAATATCAATCAATCAAACTCAATCAAATTGGTAGCGCCAATAATTTTTATTTAGAGATACTTCTGATGTACTCCGCGAAATGTTTCAAATTATTCATTATTAATTGTGGTCTTGATTAGAAAGGTGGCAAATTCGTTGCTGATAAATTTGCAATTTTTCACAAATCTATTAAGAACTACTATTACTCGCCTACTAAAAAAGAATCTATAACATTGAGGTGCATCGAGGGCAAGTCAGCCTATTATTCCTGAATTTATTTTCTGGTGGTGGCGCTGGTAACAGTAAACAAACGTAGTCGTTTTACTTTTAACTAGTGTTCATGTTACCATTGATTCTTAGACCATCTCATTCTAGCCGCATAAGCGACAATAAAGTAAAGTTTTTTAGACGGCGAAGCATTACGAAATGCAAAACATGTAATTTTAATTGGGTCTACTGCTGGAACAGGTAACTTAAAGAACATTCTTACAATTTGCCTTCAATCTATTAAAACTAAAAGCACTCCCTTTGAAATTAAGGGTCAATTAAATGCCAACTATCCATAAATCGCGTTGTAATTTGTAAAGGTGGTTTGTCGGTAAGTTGCAAGTAAATCGTGAAAGTGTATTAGGCAGGTTTAAAAAAAATGTTTACTTACATCAAAAACAATTATTGTGATTTAATATTTCTTGAGCGACATCCATCAAACAGAGCAATTTGCTTTGTGTTTTGATTTGAAAAGCGTAAGCTTTTCATTTAATGTTGAACCCTCAGATAAATCCATAGCACTGATTTGTAAGCAATACCAAACGAACTATTTTTTAAATGAAACAAATGTGACAAATATGAAAACAATCTAACCACTCCCATTTTTATACTTCCAAACTAATGGTAACACTTTTACCGCCAAAGGGTTTTATTCAATTGCCGATAGAAAACTAGACAACGTTGTTTTCATTGATTCGACGTTGCCGGTTCTTCAAACAATGATATTTGAACTGAAACACTTTATAAAAGTAATGCAGTTTCTGGTCCGTTATTACTTTGTAGAAATTAATTTCCAGTATTATTGACAGAATTTGTAGCTAGGCTAATGAGCCAAACAATGCGACTTTTACTGAAACTTCATTCTATTTCGAGACCATGGGACATTCATTTAGTTTTCAATTGTTTGAAAACCAATAGTCTGTCCGCAGTTGATACCTAAAATTGAAATTAGAAGGATATTTGAAAAATGATTTTTATGATTTTTCGCAGAAGTATTGCTGACACTATGTATTTTTGTATCTTAAAAATATCTTCAAAATTACATTTCTTGGAAAAAATAGAAGTTTTCAACATAAAAACAAGTAGCTTCCAAATTGTGGTTTTGACTGAATAGATACTAAACTTTTCTTTTTTGTTGGAGTCATTTGCATCGTGCACTTTTCTGATAGTGTCGTGAGACACGTATTATTTCATTTATCAAAAACCGTTTGACAGAGGGAAATTTTTTATGAGAAATCATCAACAACCGATGACGGAGCGGAAAATGTTATATGCTCAAATATTGAAGGAAACGGTGCTTTGATTGGGCAACCCTATTTCTAGTCCTATTCACACTCAATTACGAACCAGATACAAATAATCAACAAATATCAGAGGTGCAAGTAGATAAAATAATTGAACAATAAAGCTGCAGCTACAAATACCCACAGAGTTAGCTCTCAATAATAGCATATTAGTTGCGGTAGAAATAATAGCAGAAATTTTGGCTTGGACAACAAAAAAGACTCTAGCGAGCATATAGGGTATAAATATATAGAAGCCCTGCAGATAATACAGAAACTTTTGAAACCACCATGCAGAAAATGTTGAAAACTGCCATTCAATATTTGAAAATAAATAAGAACTAAAAGTTCAGATTTTCACGAAATTATATCAACACCGTGTCTTTATCAAATGTATTTCGATAAAGACACGGTGTTGTCGAAACAATTGTCATGTGAAAATATATAATTTCGTGAAAATCTGAACTTTTAGTCCTTATTTATTTTGATAAACGGATCTTTATCAAGTAAAAGCCACCTCAGTTCAATTCAATATTTGCATGCGCGGTCACTTCAAATCTTTGTTTTCATTCAATAAAATTTGTCGTTTCGAGTGAACCAATAAAACCTAAAATATCATAATCTCTTGAGGCGCATCAATTTTTACCGTCCTTATCACTAATATATTATTTAATATAATTTACACATACAACAAAAGATAAAAAAAGAAAAATAAAATTACATATAGTTTTGTGAAAACCAATTAAAGGAAAAAATTTAAAGCCATGGAAATGATTTACTAATTACAAAGATACTTCGTTAAATGAACAAACTGAAAAGAAGAAAACTAACCAAAAAGTCACGGAACGAAGTTGCCGAGGCCATGCGTGGACGTGATTAAACGGATGACTCATAAAATAAAAAGCTAGATACATTGTGTTTTGCACATGAATAGAAAGTTTTCACTTGGTAATAGCTGAGATTATTTTGAACCTATATCACCATATATACCTTATGCAAAGTTCCACTGTGTTCTCTTTTGAAGGTTTTTACGAAAAAGTGGCTGTGCTACTAATAGTTATTACTTTTTCAGGTGCTAAAGGTGCTATGGAGTTTATATTTTCTATACATGTTACTTCAAAATTGGTGTTTTATTTTCAATAACATTTCCTCAAAAACAGAACAGTTCAGAGAATTCAAATTATTTTACAATCTTCCCGTGTTTTGGAATCGGTTTCGGTTATTTTGAAGGGGCCTCAAATCTGGGAATCCCGTTGGCCATTACAAGTTAATTAATCTAATGAATTTTATAGAAAAAAATGAAGGCGTACAAAACAGCAAACATTTTCAAAATAATTTCAATATATTTTTATTTTGGAGAACATTTGATTTGAAATAAAATACCAATTTTGAACCAAGTTATTTTAATTTTAGAAAACTACAATTTGATTTTTCCAACTTTTGATAAACTGAATATCCGGCAGATTAGCACCTTCAAAAAATAACAATTTCTAGTAATAGTTCACTATTTAGGAAATTGAGAAGAACTCTTATTTTAAACAAAGTGTACATTGCATAAAAGTATACATTACCTACTTACTAAATGGTACTCTTATAAATTAATAAATGCATTTCAATAATAACATTAAAAATAGTTCACAATCATAAACTATGACTAAATGAAATCCAGACTTTTGGACTATACAAACTATAAATAACAGCCACCAAACTAAAGTACAATTATAATACATACATACAAGGATTTGTATTGGGCTATTTTTGATAAATGTACTTTGCCCTTCTTGTTGGAAAATTTTTAATGAAGATTCACAAAATTTTTGAAATTAAATACCCTATATTATTAAAAAATAAATTATTTGCAGAACCGACCAGATACATTTATGAAAAATCACTTAAGTCTATTCTAAAGGAGTTTTATATGAATATTAAAAACTTGTATAAAATCTCTGCTGTATGATACTTCTCATGGATCCTAGAGACAATATGTGTCAAGTATTTAATCCACTAAAATATGCAAAAAAAATCAAGTTTCGCAATCAAAACTGCAATGTACTTACCTCATAAATGGAAATCGGACTTCATTGTATTTTATGCAATACAAATAACCAATGATAACTGTGGCTGCTGCAAAAAGCAACCCATATTTACTTCTGTTAGTGAATATCAACCAAGATGGCATGTTCCGATTCAGCCGAACCCACAGCCCTTTATTTCGGCTTAATCTGTTGCGCATAATCTGTTCCTCTCTCTTCCGTCGATTCATTCTTAAAATAATTAATATTAAAAACAGAAAAAAGCTAAATTTTATATAATATTATAGCTGTAATAATCTAAATCTAAACAAGCCATATTACCATTACCTAAGGCTAAGGCTTAGCTAACATATATTGATGTTTATACTATTTGTCTGTTTTAAATGATATTAAGAGTTAAAGTACATAACCCTATAAAGTGGCACTGCAAATATTCATAATAAATTTAGTTTTGAACAAAAGTTACTCAGAACATTGATAACATTATTTTTTTTTTAATGTTTATTTGAAGTTTAACACAATTAAAAGCAATTCTGGAGTCAAAACCAAAAAGTGCTTAGTTTAAAATTGATTTGGTTTAATTTTTTTGTTAGTATTATCGCATTTTTAAGGGGAACATAAATCTAGGTTAAAATATTTTTATTTAGAGTTACCCAGCACTAGAAATTCCACTGATTATAAACATAAAAATAACACATTCAATTTGATCTCTGAACTCTGACCTGTCCCCTAACCAAAACTGTCCCCCTCTAACATTACATGGCAAATTTGAAATGATTTGACTGAAACATTTAGAGGCTAATAGCAATAGCAATAATTAATTTTGCTTTAAAAAGGCTAACACAGAAGATATAAAGCTAATAAATTCGAAAAGGGAAAGCAAGCAATTAGATTGGTGTAAGGTGGAAAAAATGAATGTGCTTCAAACAAAAATTGTTTTTATTTACAAATTAAAACAAAAGCAACAGTGTTAACCTACAGATACTTACCTTTGCGTTTTCTGTGTGAAACAAAAGAAGCAAAGATAGCAAAGTAAAAGCGAATGGAAAACATCTTTTGTACAAACAAAATAATTTTTTTGAAAACATAAAGCATGCCAAATTTTACATACTCCCTTTTCACTCGCTCCTTAACTATTTTTTCCAGTATTTCTGGAGGATAATCTTTGTAAAACTCTGAAGCATTCTTTAGAATGATTTCAAAGTTTACGTTATCAGGAATTTGAGAGAGAAGGCAATGAATGCTAGCCATATCACAGCCTGCTTCGAAAACTTCATTTCTTCTATAAATAACCAGGGCTGTAGCAACATACAATGGCATAAGTGCTGGTGTTGCCAAAAAATAATCATATAAGCGAACTACATCTTTGTATTGGTTCAGTGAATGCCCGAACCATGTTAAATACCATGGAAGCGCAAACATTGTACCAACACCTGCACTGAAAATAAACAAAGAGAAATTATTCAAAAAATAATTGCCCATACAGGTGCTACAGTAAAAATTATAATATTCTTATGATAAATAAAAATTGAATATTTTGTAAGTTGTATTAGTGATGAATTAAATGATTACTACTACTTCATCTTAATAAAATTCTGCAACTGATCTCACCTATCCATGAAGTTATACAAATCTTTGTCTACTTTATATAACAGAGCATAAATATAATTTAATCTATAATCTGTTTTTTCCATAGTGGGTTCCATACATTCTCTTAAATGCCCAGTACTCAATTTCTCCATTATCCTAAATGCAACAGCTTCTCCTACCACTAATAAAAAAGTAACAGCAACATCATGATAACCCTAAAAGACCTTTTAAAAAAAGAGAGCTTGTGTAAGCTATAGGGTATTACTTGATAATATCTCAGATGAGGATACTTCATAATAACTCGTAATATTAAAACAGTCAACTGATCCTGTAAGGCTACCCTTTGGCGGTATGGAATACCAGGTGGAAACCTTTTGAGAGATCTGTTTACATCCAAAACAACTTGCTGATATTCTGGATGATTCGACAATTCCTCTAAAGATGGTATTTTTTCATCAGTACTTGGATCAACTTCTAGTAATAATGGCCACACTTTGAACCTTAAATCATCTGAAAACGTATTTCTTGCAAATATATGAAAAGTTTAGCGCAAACATTTCTAGTGCTAAGAGAAAGAACTGGTTATAACTTACCGCCAACTAAACCAAATTGGCTAATAGCTAAATTTCGCCATGTTTTTAATAGATGATGATTCCCTGTCAAAGCGTTTTCAATTTGTGTTCGTTTGTCTTTTTCTTGTTCAGTTTCCAATTCTAAAATGTAATGTGTAATCTGAAATTAGCACAACAACACTTGTATAGGCCTAGCTCACCTCTTTCAAACTTTAATTCGGAACGAGTATCTTCAGCAAATTCATCAAAACTAATTTCGGAGCGCCTGTCAGATGAGGTTTCGTAGTTTAATAAGCCAGACTCCTCTTCCAAACTACTTATTTCGGAGTCAAAATTTTCCATTTTGGAAAAAATTTTTTAGACTCGAACCATTCCAAACATTTTGCTGAGAAAAACCCACGGACCTTATACCCAACCGACTTATTGAAAATAAGTGAGCTGTGTTCGGTAACTATCCCGAGACAATAAAAAGCATGAAGAGAGTAAGCCGAGCGCGGACCGACTGTATGACGTACACCGACCCACTCAATCCAAAGACTTAGTATTTATTATTTTTCAATATTTTTTAGTCTTTACAGGTAGTATCGCCGAATAAAACAATGAAAGAATTGAAACTTCGAAAACTAATATAATTTCTTTTGGAGAAGTGTAAATAATCCAGACCTACGAAAATGTTTGCAATAACAATACTAATGTAAAAAAATGGATTTTTTTATTAAAGTAGAGAGTCGAAAAAAAGTTATTTCTTCAACCTACAAGACGAAGTAGAAATCCTCAAGGCTAGTGGCTCGGGACTACCCAGATACGTGCTGGTATCTTACCTTCAGCAAACTCAACCCATAGAAGAAGTTTTAAGCGTTTTCACTTTTCACTCACTATAGTTCCCTGCACAGATAACAGATATAAGGTAATCTGATTTGACTTGAATTTTCCCGATTATAATTCTTATTATAAAAGTGGTTCAAGCATGAGTACAATCGTAGTAACTAATGAAAATGTTGCGATTAATTTAACTGGCTATGTAAGTTCCAAAGAAAATCCATGGAAGCGAAGTACAAAATCTCGCATTACCCAGAAAATTTTTAATTTAGCTCAGTGGATTCAAATTACTACACAGTCAATGTAAATAACGTTATTCACACAATCGTTTTAAAAAATCGAAAAGCGAAATATAAGATCTCTTTTTTTGTTTCAGACAGTAATCTCAAAGGACCCACCCAATTCGAGCGCCTTAGAAACATTTCTAGCTATTTTGCCATCATTTTTTTACATGTTTTTTACAGTAACGGCATTGTCATTACTCTCCACAAAGCAAAAAGTGGTATCATTCCTTATTGAATTTTCATTTATAGTTATTCCTGTTATACTTAATGTAACAATATTAACAGAGTATCTCAAAGATATTGTGTATGCATTGTCACTTGTCATTGGTTTTATGTTGTTCTTAGTTTTGAACAAACCCCTAGTGAAAAATAAAGCTCAAGTTAGGTCATCCCATACGAGGAACTATATAACAAATGCTCGTTCTACAATTAACTTAATAAGTGTCATAGCAATACTAGCTGTTGACTTTCAGACATTTCCATCCCGATTTTCTAAAACCCAAACTACAGGTTTTAGTTTAATGGATGTTGGAGTTGGACTTTTTATTTATTCAAATGGAATTGTCGCTCCAGAAGCTAAAGAAAGGCCAGATAGTATTAAAAAGTCCTTAAAAAGCTGTATCACCTTAACGACCCTGGGAATAATCAGACTTATCTTAACTAGAATTACCGCATATCATGTTTCTGAAGTAGAGTATGGTTTGCACTGGAATTTTTTTATAACTTTAGCTGTAACTAAGCTATTCACATCAATCATATTAAATGTAGTCAGTATCAAATACATTTATGCAAGTGCTATATTTCTCACATTTACCCATGAAGTATTTTTAGAGACAATATTTAAAAAGTTTGTTTTTGGAGATATAGTGAGGGATAATTTTATATCAGCCAATAGGGAAGGGTTAGTATCTTCCATTGGGTATATAACTTTATATTTATATTCAGTGTACTTTGGTTATTTCATATACCATAAAGAGAGGAGTAAATTCAACACCCACCTAAAACTTTTTGTCTGCTCAGCAGCATGTCTTTCATTAACTTTAATTTTTGATTACCTTTTTGGAGTGTCCAGAAGAGTAGCAAGTTCTGGTTATATCTTCTGGGTCTTGTTTATAGGAGTATTTATGACTTGGTTGTTCTACTTAGCAGAAAATTTACAAACATTTTTTTTTACTAGGAGACTGACTTTCTACCTTTGTTCCCCAATTATTTTTGAAGCAATTAACTACAACGGACTAATTTTCTTCCTATTAGCCAATATTTTGACTGGTTTAATCAATAAGCTTTTAAATACAAAAAGCTATGGCCCTATAAGTTCATTATTAATAATATCTTTCTATATGTTGTTAAATTGTATGGTAGTTTTTATACTCTATACGAAACAAATCAAAATAAAGTTTTGAAACATGTTATTTTGTTTTATTTATTAAATAAAAATAAAATAAATCAATTTTAATAAATTTTTTGTTAGTAAACGAAACTTTATACTTTATTACAGTTCATCATGTCTGATAAATTCTTTAAACTTAGCATGATCTTTTACATGGTCAGTGGCTGTTTTAATTAGTCTTTTAAATTCATAAACATCAAAGGAGTAATTGGCAAACTTTGCGTGAGCTCCACCATCATGTGTATCCTTAAACAGAATTGTATTAAATTAAAAATAAAGCATTTCAGAAAATGATTCTCACATCCGTTTCCAAAATCAATTTTTCTGTATCTTCCCAGGTAACATACTTAATACCTCGCAAACGGGCTAGGTCAAAATAACAGTTTGAATCTTCACAGTTGTATCTACAATAATATATATAAAAAAAATATATACAAATATGCACAAAAGATTATCACTCACAACTCAAAAATGACTGCCCAATCAGGCAGAAATAGTAGATGTGTAAGTCCTGCTCCATGTATACCAACCAACAGATCAGAATTAGCAGTTATTTCTAATTGCTTCTTAAAAGGAATTTTTCTATTATAGACAACATGCTGGACTTCATACTCTTCATTAACCTTAATTGAATTTAATAGATGTTCTTCATTTAAGATTCTACGATATTTAGTATCTCTTGATAAGAAAGTGATCCTAATTCTATTACTTTTCCTTTTATGTATTGGTATTTTTAAACGATGTAGAATATGTCTTGAAAAGGCATGAAATAGGCCACTCTTTTGGCATCCATATATGAGAGGAGTGTTATAATACAAGCCAAATATCATTCTGGGCAATAAAGGAAATATTGCATTTTTAAAACATACAACATTTCCACTAAATGTTTTCAAATCCCATATAGGGTGGTCTGTAAAAGCCTTCCAAGTTTCTTCAAATAATGATTTGTATGTAAAAGTTTCCCAGGTTAATATGTGAACATCTGTTGAAAATGTGTCAAATCTGGGATTCATGTGTAAAGACATATAGAGGTTCAAAAAATCACAGAAATGGTGGTACATATTTACACCTGAAATAAATATACTGTACAGAATTAAAAATTAATTTCAATAATAGCAATATTAAATAGAAAGATTATCCTTATGAAGTTTTATGTGCCCTAAATAAATAAAAAATAATACAAAAATACATACTAGCATCTAGCTTCATTATATAGGTTGGTGTTTCTATAACTACATCACAATCTTCGTTCATTATAGGTCTATTCTTAAGTTTAACAAAATACCTTAGCTCAGGTCCCCAACTCTGCAAAGCACTAATATGGTCTGCATGTTCTTGTAACAGGGATTTATTTAAATCACAGAATCCACCTATATCCCCCTCTGATAAAACATTCATTTTGTATCTAATAGGTTCAGTTCTATCTATTCTTGTGAAATTTATTAAAATATTTTGACCTCTGCAATATCTCAAGTGATCGGTACATTCTAGTGAACTATCTTTTGCAAGAAAAGGCTTACACAATATTTTTAATTCCTTTAATTGCTGCTTGATGTATCCAAAATCTCCTTGTGTGTAAAATGTGTTCTTTTGCTCGAATTTTGTTTTTACCCAACCTTTGTGATCGCCGGGACAATCGGGTTTTGAATATTGAGAACCCCATTTGTGTGACAGATGGTATCCCCAAAAACGGGTTTTATCTAAGTACTGCGTATAGGGACAAGTTGGGTCAAGCCTACATTTTTTCGCTATATCAGGAAAACTCGTAAAATAGTATGGCAGGTGTTCCTCTGGCAAATTTATATAGGAAAAGTTATCAGAAATTACAAAGTTTTGATAAACTGATAACAGTAAACATAACAAAATCATCTTGTATATCTCATTTCTTATAATTTTTTTACGCTCTTGCGTTATATTTTAATCATATCGACTACTATTATTTGCCACATCTAATCACTAAAATATTTACTGGCAAGTGCCAACTATAAGGGTCAACGAAACTGTATATACCCACAGAAGCTTGATGAATTACCATATGACCAAACCATAGAAGTTGTAACTCTTTGCCAATGATACCGAAGTGTCACTTGTTTAACGAGCAAATTGTAATGCTTTCCTTACACTCTTTAAATGTGAACAGCACAAGCATTGTGAAGCAGAAAGAATAAAAAAAAAGGATGTTTTGTTTGGTAGTGTTGAATATAAATTACATATAAAGTAGAGATGTGTATAATTGCCCTTCTAGCCAAGTATTTTCTTTGTAAACATAACAAATAAGATCACTTTACGACGTCAGCTGCGTTACCCACGGTCACGAACCACTTCGAAACATTTCCGGTACTTTCGTCGCATGCTTGGGAGCAATCGGTAAACGGATGGTATTTTGACGTTTATCGGTTCTGAAGATCACATCGCAATTCACTCACCCGTACTCTTGTAAAACCAAATGATCGAACAAAAAGTGTAGTTAGAACACGTTGATAAACTTCGGTTACTCGTTAACACTCGCACCGCTGGTGCCAAAAGAAACTCGTGACTAAAGTTTACTATGCATGCATAATGTGCTATTAAAAGAGAACTGGTAATAATATTTTTTGTCATACACGTTAATACTAAGGTTTTTAAATATTTTCCAATTTTTCTACCTGTTTGGGGTTTTTGGACGGCAATTCCTTTGCTCTTTGGGAAATAATTTTAATCATTTTTTTTTTTAATGGTCACACCCGCTTGTCAGCCATTGTGTGGTTATATGGTGTCGGACAGAGGACGAACCTAAGACCACTGGCAAACCAAACCTCCAACCAAAGGTATGCCATCTGTGCCTAGAGCTGAGGTACCAGGCGACCCCACAGAGTATTTAGGCTTACCTAGGACTTTGACTTAAAGAATTGTTATCTGCTTTAGGCAGGAATCCAGATATCCTCTCTATCAACAATGACGGAATTGAGGCTACCTTATCATCAACCTCAGAATTTTCCAGCATCAAATTAACCTACAAGTGAAATTTTGCTGTGAATTCAGGTTCCTGAGCAAATTTCAAACTCCTACTCAGTAGGGTTTCAACCTTAGAATTTTTTAGCACTATATTAACCCACAAGTGGAATTTTGCCATGAATTCAAGTTCCTGGGCCAATTTCAAACTCCCACTCAGTAGAGTTTTACTGTCAACCTCAGAATTTTCTAGCACTAAATTAACCCACACAAGTGGTATTTTGCTAAGAATTCAGGTTGCTAGGGACATTTGAAACTTCTGATCAGTGGAGTTGATTCTGTACAGGACACAATATTCTTTTGCCTTATGGCAAATCTGGTACAAGAACGAGCCTAGGAGCTGCTCCTAGGGCACAGATATCTGTGCCTGTGGAAGTCTAGCCCAGTGTATTTGAAAAAAAAAGTTGAATAAAGTGGGTTCTCAGTATCAGCTGCACGCAACCACGAAAGCTGGGAGGAGTCCTAACAGGACACTGGGAGTACATGTCGACTGTGTTTAGCAAGCAGCCGCTAAAGAGTACTAAAAGCTCAGTTAACTGAGCCCAAAGAACTATCCAAACTTCTCATCAAGTGAAGATGTGTCGGCATAATGGATCAGGAGCTCATGAGAAAATTAGGTTGTAAGAACTTCTTGGGCTCTTCTAATATCCTTTAATTGGTTGCACATACAAAGCTATTAAACTGTTTCAAATTTAGAATGAATCTTTTATTTCTTTTTTTTTGATGGCTAAAAAATAATGAGACAAACTGTGAAAATATGGTTTCTTTGTTTAATTATTCCCAAATCTCTTCCGATATTTCCTTTTTTTGTTGATTCCTGAGAATAGAGGAATTGTACTAAATCTGATACTGTTGAACCCTGCACCCAGTGTAACACAATATCATGACAAGTAATATTCTTACATTTGTTAAGGTGGAAATATAGTTTACCAGAAATACCCTTTACTTAATAGTAATACCTCTTTTGTTGTCTCGTTTGAGGGTTGTAATGCCTCTGTGGAGCTTTTATCCGCATCGAATGATAAAGTGCGGCGCTGCTGTTTAAATTCTTGTCATCTACTTTCTCTTGCGGTCTAGACACTCGTCTACCAATATCTGAGCAATATTGAATTGTTGTTTTTTGACGAAAAGTTGACGGCTTATTACATGTAATTCGCTGTTTTTTGCTAACGTCACATTTGTTTGAAAATTAACTGGTCTTTAATTCTTAAGTCGTATTCGCAAATTGTTTTTGAGAATACCATTATCAGCAAAGTTTCTTCGGATTAGATCTAATGTATAGCATATTTGGTGTAATAAAATATCCTTCTAACTATCGTTCATTTCTTAACACCTACGCATTTGTAGCTGCTCTTAAATTTTTCAGAACTTATATGTGAAAAAAATTTAAAGAAAAATAAATAAATAAAATCTACTAAAAACAGAAAAAGTTTGCTGTCGCATGACGTTAATTATAAATCGCCATGCTCTTAAAATTTGATTGCCAAGTCAAAACACATCTTTATCCATACTATTACTTAAATTAATTTAAATTAAATTTCACTCACTACTGTCGGAATAACTGGATTTTTATATGTTAACGCGTGAACCATTGTTACATCAGACGCGGCAGGTTTATTGTTCATTTTGAGAGGGCGCCACTGCTGCGACCACTTACATGGACATTCACTTCACACAATAAGCAACACTGTGGTTTCTCTATCCGCATACATCAATGGGGACATCAACGTCCGTCTGTAGGAACCTTTATACAGTTAAACATCGGTGGCATCTAAAGAATGACTGAAACAACTTTAATCCCTATTTTCAAAATTTAAATTGGTAGTAACATATTAAATTAAACCTTAAGTAGTGGCCGTGCAAAAGCACATTTTTAAAAAATATTTTTTTAAACCTAGAAGAAATAATTCTTTAAAATTACTTGAACTTTTTCTGTAATTTAATAAATCGCACGTTTTTGCCATTTTGGACATCAACATTCTTTACACCCTTATTTTGAAAACAACATGCAGTGATGTCATATTTTTATTAGGAAATTGTTTGTGAAAAAATACACTTCTCAGTTTAATGGAAACAGAAATACAAAAGATGATATTGTATTTATACCATGGTTATTGCTGCTTATAGAATGTGACTATTATTTAAACTCTAACTGACACTTGATACTACTTAATAAATATGACATGCTTTTTGAAGCTTGATGATTGGGTACCACACTTTCATTACTTGTCTTCTACACCTGCTTGTGTCATTAAATCACCAATGTTCTTTTCCAAGTCGTCTATTCGTGCTCCCATTTCATCGATTCGAGTTAATATTTGATCGGACATGTTTTGAAATTTATCCTGAATATTTTGGAGTAGACTTTGTACCTAGAACAGGAACATTGTTTAACGAAGAAGGCTTCTATTTACAAAAAAGCCTTACATATTGAGTTAATTCATGCACGTTTTTCGGATCACTCGCACTACCGTAATTTTCGGTGTCGTTCATTTCCACTTTATCTTCCACCATAATCCCAAAACGAAAATAGGGACTCTGAATTTATAGTGACTGCCACTGGGTTGCACTTAGCCGTTGCGTGTTCCGTTTAACGAATGATATTATTTATTGATTTTATAAATGCCCGGGAAATGTTTTCTTTAAGTTAAAAAATATTGTTTTAAAGGTACCCTAGTTAACTCATATTAGATTCTTCTTCTTCAATAAAAACTACAAAACCAACATTTGGACTAAATTGCTAGGATCATTCGTCCATCGATGACAACCGGCCAGGACTATTCTTTCAAAACAGAGCCACATGATATTGAATTCAGAAAGTGCATAATTTGTGTATATTTTATTTATTTCTTTAGCGTTTTAACGAAAAAAAAAAAGATATATATTATGGTATTTATTTTAGATCTTCCAAAAACATCAGTTCTCTCCCAATCTGTGACCAAGTGGAAACGAAAAAGCTTCAAATTACTGGCGAGTGTTTAATGAAGCTGACATTGACATTTTGCGCAGAAAAGATTTGCTGTTTTGAATTTTCTAATTTTTCTTTCTGCTTGCATTTTTCAAGGTTGCAATTGCACTTGAGAACAAGCAAATGTCAAACAAATGTAAATAGCAGTTCTACTGGTATTTCTCAGCTGGTCAACAATTTAATTTCATTGTTCCCTTCACAGTAAAGTAATTTATAACAATGCCTACAAGAAAATTGAAAGTCGTTCAGTAGTGAAACAGCAAAGACAAAATACAGAGAATGTTGTCATGGATATTACCATACTTGACATTAAAACATGCAAAAAATCTAAGATTGAAACTAGTAACAGAGTAAAGCAGTGTTTTTATTGTCAAATTTGTCGTTATTTTCGTATTCATGAAATTTCATTAAAAACTTGTTATATCTAAGAGCCTTTTAATTTATTGCGCAGGGTACCTACCACATGTTTGTTCAATACTGATTCAATAACGATATTAGGGTTTATTTAAAGATGTCCCCGTTTGTATACAGAACTCCACTCACATTTTTATTTTCAGAGACAAACGTATTTTGTTTTCGTAAAAAGTCATAAGCTTAAAATTTCTCCACTGTCTATAACTATCAATATCACTTCAGCAACTATTGTTTTGGGAATATATTAAAAAGCCTGGTGGGTAATACAGGTGTTTAAAAACATATGTATTTTCCTTCTTTCTTCCTACAATTTGGATAAAATAAATAAAATTTCGTGCACCCAGATATTATATGCAACTCAAAAACTAGATATCCGGGGGAATTAAGTTACCTACATGGTGATACTGCACTTTATGAAACAGTACAACTTTGATTAATGTTATTAAAGGGAAACCTTGTGGACATACTGTGTTTATGCTTACACTTACCTGTACATATCACTTAAATATTTAGGTTAAATTTATTAAGTAAAAAATAGGTTACATATTGTGAAAGAAAAAGATTTAGGTATCATAATCGTTATTAGACAGTCTTGACTGTAGAATTCAAAAATGTTGATATGATTTTATCCAATGTTTTTAAAACATGAATCACTACTGTTATCCAATAATTGTGGTATTTAAATTTTCATTTCACCTGATACTGCCTCTATATATTATGCCAGATAAACGGTTTTATCTGGAATAATACTATTAGAATGGAAAGCTTTAGGTAAGTATCAAATAAAATATGATCAATGCTATTTTTACATAAAGATGTTTTTTGGATAAATAAAATGCAAAGACTTTATAAAATTATATTATCTCAGCTCAATATATTGTTTAATAAAATGAGTATATTATGTACAATTTCATTACAAAATTTTACAAAAAGGGTTTTAGTTTTAAAATAAAGATTTCAATGAAGATAATGATTTCCCTAATGTTTTTTTCAGGAGGTAAGTGACAAGCACAATGCCAAATTATACCCAAAAACTATTCAAGTGAAAAATGAAAATTTTTATTATAAAAATAGATCATACAATAATTACAATACAAAAAATACTAACTGAAAAAATGATGGTGTGTACTCATAATTAAATAATGAAAATTCAGAAGTCAGTTGAATTGATATTTACCAAGTGAAGACTACTATTTTGGCATAGATTCTTGCACTTGGAAACAAAACTAGGTATTGCTATTCCACTATTGCAAAAGAACTACCGGTGCATGCAAAAGCCAACTTAACTCTTTTATTAGGAAATAATGGTGCTGGTGTCTTAACATCTATTTTATCCCCAGTACCGCAACTGCCATGTTCATTCCATCCCCAGGCGAACAACTTATTTTGATTGGTGACAGCTAGGTTATGTTCAGATCCTAGACTGAGTTGCTTCACATTCCCTAAAGTTGGGACTTTTTCAGGTCTATATGTAATGTCCCGGTTAGCTCCCAGCTGACCATAATTGTTACGACCCCAAGTGAGAATGTCACCATTTTTAAGAAGACATGCACTGTGGGTCCAACCAGCATATACACTTTCCAATGCATCGCTATTATAGACCTCCAAGGGGACAAAACTATTGGCAACATTTGGATCAACACCTAATTGACCAAACTTGTTGTCTCCCCAACTAAGTACTGTTCCATTTCCCCGTAACACTAATGTATGATGTTGCCCACTAGCCACGCTTATTACATCATTTAATTCTGGTACTCTTGATATACTTAAATAATTATTATCATCAAAATTGTCTCCCAGTCCCAATTGCCCTTTTGCTCCAGTGCCAGCAACCAGGAGACCTCCATCTTTGGTTATAATTGCTGAATGCCTTAAGCCACAGCTTACCTGTTGAAATCCAGTTGCTAGTTTTTGAGAGACTTGTAATCGAGACGGAATACCAGTGCAAGTGATACTTTTGGAAAGACCAAGTTGAGTATACTGGTTGTTACCCCAGACAAATTGTTTGCCACATTCAGAGACAGCTGCACTGAAATCCCAGCCACATGATATTTGTACGATTTTAAATTCCTTTAAAATCTCAATTTGTGTCAATTTAAAAGTATCATCAGATAGTCCTAACTGACCCTTAGAGTTCCAGCCGCAACAGTACACTACACCTTTAGAGTCCAAAACTAATGTATGGCCTGCACCCCCTGCTATAGAAACTATGTTTTCTGCTCTCAAATCACATGCTTTTAACTGAACTTCTTTAGGTAATAACTCCTCATCCGATTTATGCCCAAGCCCTAATTGGCCATAGCTGTTAGCACCCTAAAAATTTATACAAATTATAATAAATCAATATTTTCATCAAATGGTGTTACAAAATCGACATACCCAAGCATACAAATTCATGATGATATCCAAAAAATATAGTTAAATTTCGTTGCAAGATAAGCACGCGTCCGTCTAAAAAATATGAGGTTATAAATATTTAATCTTTATAAAAAAAATGACGCATTTCACTTTTTTGTTAGGTTTTGCTTACCTTTGCTTTGCTTACGATAAAATTGTTTTTACTTCGTTTCATGGACAAGATAAACTTCACCACATAAGAACCGCCTTTACTAATATTCCAAACTCCAAATCACAAAAAAGTAAAAAGGATTTGACAACATGGATCATAGGCATGGATTCTAAAATGGATTATGATTGGTGAGACCAAGACTCATTCTATCCTTTGTTATTTTTTCAGCCGAAAGGAAACAGATTTAGCAGAGTGCTAAAACACTTTTTGCACATTTCAATTAAAATGCGAGGTAATATAAAGGTTGAAAACCGCATTATATTGTTATTCCAATGTAACATTAATAGTAAATTTTGTGTCGATTATTTTCACAAAGACTCATTTCAACTTCAAAAAATGTTTAGTGGGTCTTGTCAAAATAAAAAATCGATAAGCTTGTATTTAGTTATTCATGATTGTTATTTCGTTCAGAAAGTCTTACTATAGGTACCGCTCATCTAATTTTTCTTAGAGCGAATGGTATTTGCTAAAACGAATTATTCTTAGAAACTGGTTTTCCCAATTTTTTTAGCTCCATAATAATAGTGGAAATTGCCATACACAAGAAACATGTCTAAAAGCAACGGTAGCAGCTTTTAACAGGGAAAATGAACGCTATATTAATGAAAATTCACCAAAAATAAACAAAAATGTTATTCCAATAAAACATGATAATGATTAGACTTAGTAACTCAAAATGAGAGAAACCTGATGCTTATTTTGCACTGATGCACAGATGGCTAAATCAATTTTTAGTAGTATATTATGCAACAAATTTTATAAATGCCACTTTTGTTACCAGTTTTATTTTTTCACGAGTAGAAAGCGAGTAATAAGAATAACTGAAGAAGTTTATCAACATGTTAAGTACTAAACACTTTTTCTTGGAATTCTTTGAATACATTTTGGCGAAGCAGCAGGAATAATAGAATAATAGAACGCAACTGGATCACTGGTTAATTGAATCTACTTGAACAAAACTTAAAAGAAAAAGCTGACTCTGACTTAACATTCCTAATGTTATGCGTTTACGAAACCAAATTAACCAAGTGGTTTATCTCTGCACATAACCTCGATCAAGTTTGGAAATGATAATAATTGTTGATATATTTATGATTAAAATTACATTTAAGTCCCCATAGGAAGATATTTGAAACGGATTTTTGCGTTAATTGTTATGGATTTTTGTGATCTAACGGTAAACCTAAAAGATATAAAATCGGACATATTAAAAGGAATTTATGAATGTTCAGAGAGAGGATTGTTTCATACAGTAAAATGGTTATCAGAATTAAATTTTGCTTTACATTCCGTAATTCCTTCCGTAGACGTTAGGCCCACTGAGGATAGCTGTGGCGAAGAAAATGGAGCTTTTTTATTAGCCAAATCATACTTTTATTTAAAGGAATATGATCGCGCTTCCTTTTTCGTCAAAAATTGCATTAAAGCAAAACCTAGATTCTTGTATTTTTATGCAAGGTATTTCTCGATTGAGAAAAAAAAATTAGACAATATGACTGAGACAAATTGTCCTCCAGACCCAACACAAAATGAAGCATTAAAGGATCTCTGTTCTGAATTAAAAAGTGATTTTTATGATAATAAATTGGATGGATATTGTATTTACTTGTATGGCATTATACTGAAAAAGTTGGATCTGAAAACATTGGCCATTAATGTTTTGACAAAAGCTGTACAAGAAGAACCAATTCTATGGTGTGCATGGTACGAATTAGGAAAGCTGATCAATGTAACCAGTTTTAGTCATCTACCAAATCATTGGATTAAGTACTTCTTTATGGGGCACACCTATTTAGAACAACTTAATAATGATGAAGCTTTAAGAGTTTACCATCAACTACAATCACTTGGATTTTCGGATAGCACATATGTGATGTCCCAACTTGCTATAGGGCATCATAACAAAAGAAGTAAGTAAAACATTATGATAGCCTAATTCAAGTAGTTTATTTTCAATTTAACATGATAACACCAAACACTTGTGGTGTACGATTAAACTGTGAAATATGAACAAAATTATTCTGGTGATATCTGCCTTTCAATTTACTATGTGTTAAAAGGGGAAATAAGGATTAATAGACAATAAGTAATTGCAATCTAATGATTAATACTTTGCTTCTGTTTTACGTACTACATTTTATTGTATCTGTGTAGATATAGAACAACATAAAAATATTGCTTAAATTTAACTTTTTTAATCGGGACGAGCCTGACGCAAAAGTGCCGCCGTCAATAGTCTGGTCTGGTTATTTTTAGTGAGTTATGACCAGGGCTGAAAAACAAAAGAGAATAATTACTTTCCATAGTGCAGATCTGGTAGACTCCAAAGGCAGATGTGTAACATGTAATGTTACCCCCATCTGCAGATTTAGTATTGTTATAGTTACATTGTTAAAAAATGTTCAATTTTTCTAACTGAAAAATTTATTAAGTAGCTACAGAAATTCCTAATTTAATACCATTTGCAGAAGTTTTGCGAGTGCAAACAATTTTTAACATCATAGAGATCTAAAAAAAATTCTACAAAATTTAAAACAGAAGCGAGTGTCAGCGAGTCATTTTTAGTATTTAGCTATGTAAGATTTCAATTAAGAAAAACAGCAAAAAGTGTATAAACATTTTACTCACAAAGCATATTTGTATATTGATCTTGATGTTATAAAGCAAGAGTCCAATATTTATTTACAATGCCCATATAATTTATTAAACCTTATTCTAATCTCTATACTCTGCAAATTTTTAATTTGTTTTAATTAAACTTTTCTACACTCTATATAGTTTGCGAATTGCGGGTGTTGCTTATACTTCCTTCAAAGTTTAGGAACACTGAATTTTTACAAATAGGTTCTCTATAATTGTAGAGTTGGATGATGCAATAAAGATGTTTAGACAAATTTTGGAAATAGATCCGTATAGACTAGACAACTTAGATACATATTCTAACCTTTTGTATGTACTTGAAATGAAAAATGATCTTGCCAATTTAGCTTATAAGGTGGTTGGTATAGACAAGTACCGTGTTGAAACTTGTTGTGTGATTGGTAAGAATATCACATTTAAAGATAACAAATGAGCTGAATAGGAAATATATTTTAGGAAACTACTATAGCCTGAGATCGGACCATGCAAAAGCAGTGTTGTACTTTAGAAGGGCTTTGAAGTTAAATCCGCAGTTTCTCTCTGCTTGGACATTGATGGGTCATGAGTATATGGAAATGAAGAATATAAACGCAGCAATACAGAGTTATAGATATGCTATTGGTAACCGCGTAATTAACAAAATATCATGGTTCATTTTGTTGTTTACTTATTCAGAATATTTTAGAAATTAATGCTAGAGATTATAGAGCTTGGTACGGTTTAGGTCAAACTTATGAGATTCTTAAAATGCCGTTCTACTGTTTATATTATTACAAAAAAGCCCAAGAATTGAAGCCAAATGATAGTCGCATGGTCATTGCACTGGGAGAAACATATGAAAGATTGGATAAAACTGAGAATGCTTTAAAATGTTATTACAAGGCGTGTGCCATTGGTGACATTGAGGGTTCGGCATTAATCAAACTCGCAAAGTATGTTTTGCCCTGGATAAGCAGGTATTATTAAAGTTTTGATTTTTTTTGTTTTATTTTAGGTTATATGATAAGCTGAATGAAAGAGATAACGCCGCTGCTGTGTACATAGATTATTGTTTACAGGAGGAAGAGCGGGAAGAAAAAATTATGGAGGCGCAAACTGAATATTACAATGCCCTGCAATATTTAGCAAATTATTGTTTAAAGAAAGGGGAATTAGAGGATGCATACACCTATGCTTATAAATGTATGGAATGTGCTGAGGTAAAACGAAAATGATTCTTGGTTTTTCGAGTTGTTTGGTTGTGGTATTTTGTTGTTTTTAATAAAACTTTAGATTTTATCATTTTTCCACTAACAATTGACTCGATAATAGGCCATTAAATATGGCACATACTTTTAGGTAATACACTGTTGATAATTTATCTTATTTTATTTTTATTCCCCCACAGACCAAGGAACAAGGAAAAGCTCTACTGAAAGCGATAGCGGCAAAAAGGATAGAGCACGACGAACCTGGGCAGCAAGACGCAATGAATGTTACCATGGGAGTTGCCAATATGTCAGTTGGCAATGAAGCGGATATTTCCAAAACAAATAATGATATGAATATTCCATTCTCCTCCACAGGATTCTGACTTATATAATTAAATAAATAAATGAGCTTTTTTCACTTAAACTGACATAAAGGTTTAAACGTGCGCACGTTAGATGCCGTTATTCAAAAAATAAATTTAAAATTAATACTACAACACTCTTTATCGCGTTTTCCAAATGTTAGTAACTTAATTTATTTTGAATGATTAAGAGAAAAAGAACATGTCTAGAAGTTTGCTGTCATTTATGTATAGCAACAGGTTAAGTCTCTATGTTGGGCCTCCCTCCCGACCATTCACGTATGGCGTGCCGTCAGAATTGAACAATGTTAAAATAACATCCCCAAATTCTACCAAAAACATCACATAGCGCTCCCAAACCTGAGGTGGTTCGAAGCTGACATGTGAAAGTGACACTTTCTGTGCACTTGACCGGTGCATATTTTAGAGTAGGAAGGAGAAAAAATAAATTTTTCTTTGCAATATTGACAATGTGCACCATTTTTATTTTCGAATGGAAAAAAAACATGCTAGGGATTTACTAAAATAGACAACAAGTTTAACACTGGTCAAAAGTGTGTTGTTGCAGGTAGAAATATTTGCCATTCCAAATAAAATTACTTTGATACGACAGCAACAAAATTTCTCTTTGTTAAGATGGCAATTGACAACAAACTCGAAACAATGAAATCAGTTCGTTTGTTGAAATTGTAAATGTAAATTTTTAGTTCTTGATTTGGGTAGCTGAAAGTTTGCTTTTTGCAAATTACATGTATTCCCTGGTGGCATCTATCGGCTGATGTCTTAAGTACGGACTCGCGGATAAATTACTAATGGGAGAAGTCTTTACCGTAAAGGTCTTCACGGTACGTAGCTTTCGTTTCAGGATAGTGAAATGTGTGGGACTGCTTAACACGGTAAATAATCCAAAATTCATATCTCAATGCATGAATACCAGACATCAATTAAATTTGTCAACCCAAAAATTTCACAGATTCTTTCATTATTTCCATAAAACGTTTGACCAGATAGATCATCACCTACTGATTGAAAAAGCATGCCAATTATTGGGTTTCTCCGATTCGCTGATTACAGTGTTGAGGCCCTATCTGATGAACCGTCGACAGTTCGTTGAGATTGAGGGGTTTAGTTTCTTTTGTTCCAACTTCTGGTGTGCCTCAAGATTCTAACCTTGGACCACTTCTGTTTAATATATTTATAGACTACATCAACTATAAGGCATTAAAACCGGCTCGGACAGGTGTACTAAAAATAAATTGCATCTTAACATCAGCAAGTGTGATATGGTTTCCTACCACGGCACAAAAACTCCTATAGTCTTTAACTACAATATGGATCTGGAGATTTTATTTGACTAGACGTTCTCTTTTGTACCTTTTTTTATATCGGTTTAGAACGTCCTTCGACGTTGTCCGACACCTAAACTCCAACCCCGTCGATCTTCACAATCTTCAGGAGTCAGATTTCTTTCACTCATGCATTTATGCATAACTTTTTGCCACTCTAGTTTTGGCCTGCCTCGTTTTCTTCTACCTGTTGGTTACCAGTGGAGTATCCTTTTCGGCCATCGGGTATTTGACATTCTTTCCACGTGTCCGTACCAAGTAAGTTGTTTTTTCTCTATATCCTGCGTTATTGTCCCTTCTAATCCCATCCGCTGTTTTATGGTATCGTTTCTTATTATTTTTCTTCGCGAAATGCGCATTGATCTTCTAATTGCATCCATCTCGACAGCCTCAACTCTTTTCTTATGTCTCTCGGAAATTCTCCATGTCTCTGATCCATATAGAAGGGTGCGTTTTACCATTGCTTCATAGATATTAAATTTCCGTTTCTTGGATATTTCTTTGCTCCATAGGATACCATTCAGAGCTCCTATTACTTTTTTGGCTTTGACTATTCGTTTTTCTATTTCTTTTGCATCTGTTCCAGTGTTGTCGAATGTGATGCCCAGATATTCATATTCCTGACATTGAAGGATTTCTTGGCCATTGCCTAATTCCAAATTTTCGAGTGAGTGAGTTCCCACACATAGATACTTTGTCTTTGCTATGTTGACTATCAAGCCCCATTCTTTATACTCCTCTATTAGTTTTTGAATCATATATTGCATATCATCTTTATCATTGGCTACTATGACTTGGTCGTCTGCAAACTGAAGAGTAAACAAGCATCCACCATCAATTTCTATTTCTTTTCCATTTTTTTAGTGCCATTGCCACATATATTTTAAAAAGGGTGGGGGAGACACCGCATCCCTGACGTAGTCCTTTATTCTTGATTTTGATTCCTTTGTTCTTTAAGGGCTGCTAGGTAGGTGTGATTAATATTGGATTGCTCTAAGATCCTCCATAGCTTTATTACTGGGACTGGGTCGTATGCTTTTTGTAAGTCAACAAATGTTAGGTGCGTTTCCAAGTTCCTGGCACTTCTCTTTTCTATAACTTGTTTTAGGGTAAACACATTATCAGTACATGATCTTCCTGCTCTGAAACCACATTGTCCTTCTTCCTCTTTCTCTTTATAGTTTTCCTCAATGAGATCACGTAAAATTCTGCCGTACAGTGTGCTCATTGTGCTTGTAACCAAAATGCCCCTATAGTTATTGCAGTCCAGTTTATTTCCTTTTTTTGTGAATAGAGGAGATAAGAGCCACTTTTCATTCCTTGGGAACGGGATGTCCATTCAAGCATTTATTAATAATAATTGTCAGATTTCTGAAAAGGTTGTGAGTTCCATATTTTAACATTTCGGAGTATATTCCTTCCGGGCCACTAGATTTGCCTGGTTTAAGATTCATAACAGCTTTTCTTATTGTTTCCTCAAGTATTTCAACTTCTTCTCCTTGTACATTGAAGTGTCTTGGAGATTCAGTTAAATATTCTGGTCTAGATTCCTGAAGTAGGTCTTTGTAGTGTTTTAACCGTTGTTCGGGTTTAATAAGTTGAATGCCTACCCTGTCTTTTCCGGGTTTCTTTACAGTAGATATGAATTTCCACACTTCTGAGCATTTTCTTCCTCCAATATAGTTGTTAATCTTTTCACATTTCCTATCCCAAGATTCGTTTTTTTGCCTTGTTAATCTACACCCTTAGTTTCCTCTTTATGTATTTATATTCTTCAAGATCTTGTTCATTTTTTGTAGATAGCCATTTCAGATATTTTTGTTTTTTTCCTTGAACCATTGTCTCTATCTCCTCAATCCACCAATATTTTTTGTTGGTGCTGTTCTTTTTTATTCCTATTGCCTCTTGTGTAGCTTCTGTTAGACTCGTTATTATGTTTTCGTAGATTTCATCGAACGCGTGTCCATCAGGACTGAGCAGTTTACTGTCGAGCCGTCTTTGATAAAGAAATACTGTGCTCTCATCCCTAAAACTGTCAAAGTTGTATTTTGGTGTAACAATTGTCTTCGCAGATGTCTCGTTATTGTTTTGAACTCTCTGAAGGTTTCTAGTTTTTCGAAAATGAAGGCTTATCTTGACTTTCACTAAGTAGTGATCTGATCCGCAGGTGCTCCCTCTTAGGACTCTCACATCGTTAATTTGCAAATTTGTTTTCTGTCGACTCATCACGTAGTCAATGATGGATTTAAGGTTTCGAGTACTCTGTGTCCATGTATAGCGATGGATATTTTTATGTTTAAAGAAACCATTCTTAATTTTTAGGTTGTGGGTCTCGCAAAGATGAATTAGTCTTTCACCGTTATCATTGATTGTTTCTTCTCCATACGGTCCCACGATTGAACTATTTTGTTGTTTTCCCGTTCTGGTGAATAGGCTGCGATAATCGTTATGTTATGGCCATGTAGTTTCAAGTTAACTGTTAGAATATTTTCATCATCAGCTTCCCAATTACTTATTTTATTCCTCCAATCTTTTCTTATTAGTATTGATACTCCTCTCGCTGCTCTCTTTTCTTTTGACACTACGGAAAATATATGGACAAAGTCTCCGACCTTTTTCTTTTTTCTTGGTTTCCGTTAAGGCTGCCCAATCAATTTTTCGTTTCTTGATTTCTGCCGCAATAAAATCAGTTTTCTGTCTTATACCCTGAACATTCCATGAGGCAAAATTCATCGTCCATTTTCGTTGCTTAGTTCGTCGTCCAAGTGATCCATCCGGTGTTCCGAGGCCTTGTTTAGGCTTTTTGGTATATTTATGTTTTTCCAAGTATTAGAGAACCAGTCTAATGCCTTGACCCCCAACCTGGAGGACCAGGTCAGTTTTTGTTTCACGGTGAGTATTTTATTTCCCCACTACCCTCTGAATCTGCTGGCTTGCAGACCCAGCGAGCTTCCCCTAATTCCAATAGGGACGCACCCGACTGAGGTAACTGACAAATCCCCACTCTTTTGTACCTCACATTACTAAAATGGTTGCCAGTGCAAAATTGCAGGCATTTTTGTAGCTCAGCTATTGTTAAATTGTTATTTAACTGTTACGTTAGGTTCAAGCTTGACTATGGCTCGGTGGTATGGTCACGCGCAGTCCATTGAGAGTGTGCAGAGAACGTTACTGAAGTATTTGATGTTCAGGGAGGACGGTTCCTATCCTGAGAGGGGAGTTGATCATGATCTTCTGCTGGGAAGGTTCGCTGTACTGCCTCTGAGTTTGCGCAGAGACTTGCAATCTGTTTCATTTCTCTACAAGTTAGTTCATTACGTTTCTTCTGGAACAATTACGTTTTTGCGGCTGGAAGGGAGATATCAATCAACTTTCTTCCCGCAGTTACGGAGGTCCAGTATCCATTTTCACAACCCTATTTACAATAATATTTTCAGTAATTATTATTATCATTATTGTTATTTATTTATTTTTTTTGAAGGCTAAACATCGTCTTTGAAAAAATACTTTAATTTGTTGCGAACAGTATGAAATATTATTTCCGGTTTCTTACATTTTCGTTGCATACATATATTTTTTAAGTCTTTAAATCTGATATAGGTCGAAATTACAAAATTTAAATAATAAAATATTTCATAACGGGCCTATATCTATAACCATTGTCTTTGGTGATTTTATTATGTGAATTGTTTCTTTTACTGTTAATATAATAACCGAAGACAGCGGGCGAATACTGAAGAGAGATAAAATGTAAGAGAAATCATATGAATGGGAAAAGTACTATGTAAAATGGGATTTGCAACAGTGGCTGGAGAAATATTTAGGGGAGAAGGCATATGGGACAAATGGGAAACTAAAAGAGATAAAGATGTGCATAAGCCTAAAAAAATATCATTGTGATATTAGAACCTCATAACGGGAAGTATTATGATCAAGAGCTTCAGCAGGGCAGCAAGGAAAGAAGATAGATTGGGAAATTTAGGAACGAAAGAAAGAAAAAAGATGGAATGGATGAAAGAAGGACCTAAAAAGGATCAAAGGAAAGAAAAGGAGAATGTTTTTAATAGTAAGGTTTGAAAGCAGTAGGGTATGTTATACTACTACCAACCTAATATTTATCTTCCCTTCGAAGTCCGTGTTTAATTTTCAGAATCGATACCGGACAACGGTAATAAATCAAAATAATCGGCATTGCAAAAGTCTTGGTTAAAATTCTCAATCCAGCACACTACCAAGTCTAATCCTCACCGTAGCGAACGGCAGGCAGCTTCCCATAAATCGACTTAATTTCCAATATTTCAAAAGTGTCTTTCCGCTTTGGTCCTCGCGATTCTCTCTCGCAATCCCAAGCGATAACAAAGCGGGGCAAAATAAATATAAATAAATCGGGCTAGCGTTCTGGCCTCCCTATGTCTTCACTCATTTCGAACCCCCCGACCCCACCTTACGTCAGAATTTATTGGATGCGCCAGTCTGCTGTCTGGATCTTGAGCGCCCCAGCCGCTGTGTTATTGTTGCTAAAATTTATTGTTATCTCCGGCTTTTCGGCATTCTAAATAGGTTTTATTTTGTATGAAATCGTCTGGCAGTCAAATAATATGCCGTCTCTAATATAAAAACGGAATTAGTTAGCTACATCTGAGAATTTTAATATTACTGTTTTTACTTATTTTTTATTCAAATTTTTAAGCATTTTTTTGTGAAATATATTTTTAAATTATTTTTTCAAAGGCCTCTGTATGGTTAATTGAATTTACTTCAATAAAAACTACAACGTACCAACGAATTTTACATACAAATTGTTGAGATTTCCTTATATATGAAAGTGGTTGTATATTTTTATTAATACGATGTGTAACAAAAAAAAAACAACTATGCATGTCAACTCCAAATTATAAAATAATTATTTAGTTTTTAGAAAAGTACCATTTGCTACTTAAAAGGACATCAAAGTTGATAAAAACAATATTTGTGCTTAAAACATCATCCTGCATCCCGAAAACAATGGTTTGCTATAGGAGTTTTTCAGGAAAAAATTGGTCTGTACTGTATGTACACTGTTGGTCGACCGGGTATATGTAGCATCGAGTATTAATTGGATTTAACACTGGCATCGTTACAAGAATCTGTCGCCAGGCCGGCAGCAGAAGGGGTTGTTGAATGTTAATTTTGAGAACGGCGGCGGCGGCGGCGTCACTGGTGTTTACGGTAACGCTTGCCGAGAGATAACCGCAACCGAACTGTTAGTTAATCCGCGTCATTACTCTTTGTTACACTCCAAGCGTACTTGCATTTAACCCATAACCCACCCCGAACGAGAGAAAAACAAAAAGACCAGCTAATCTCCTTCCTAAAGGCTTGGCGAATGGAATGGAAGGTCTACAAAAATTTGTATAGATTAGTTTTCACCAATTTCGCAATCAATGCTGGATTTAAAAGAATTTTTGATTTTACTTATTTCCATATACCATTTTATGACTGCTATAAAAAAATACAATAAAACTGATACGCTTCAGGTGTACATAATATTTTCGTATAGAAAGGAATGTGCAATGTGATCTTTCGCGCATGCCCCTAAATTCCACACACTCCTCTTACACAGCGATGTCCCACACAATCAACTCGTTTTTTTCTTTCAAAATTTGACGAGATTTGGGCATGTTTTGATACTGTCGAAAAATTTGAACACTGATGAATTGACGCACTGCCAGCGGCCATGTTGGTTGAAGGCGAGATATGATTTGCGATTTTTTTATGTTGGGTTCAAAAATTCCTGTTTTATCAGCGTAAGCAAGATATACAACCATCAGTTTTGGGGTACATTTTTGCAAAATATCATGAATTCATTCACTGACATGATCGTGAATTGACAAATTTCAAAATTCAAGTGGCGTCCCTAACCTCTGCGGTAATATCTGTTTATGTAATATGAAGTTTATTTAAAGAAAAAGACTGTAATTGGTAGAAAAATCATCCAAGGATAGAGCTTGTAAGAGGATTAAAATTTTAAGATCGTATAGCAAGAAAAAGCAGGTCCTAATCTTTATTTTGTTTTGTTTGTAATTTTGTACTGATAAAAATTGTAAAAACCACTAAAGTTTATGCGCACGGTATGTAAAATTTCTGGGGGGAACTTAAATTATAAATTCACTTTACTTACCAACTAACCCACTAGATTATAATTATAGCTTATTAAATTGTCTGATATATTTCATAACATTTTTCTGC